CTTTCTACGTCCAAAAAATAAAAAGGTAACGGGTCTGGATTGCAATGATGCCTGGGTGAAGCCTCCCGACTATGTTCGCGCTGCCACGGCCAGCCCAATGCCTGGCCATAGCTATATGCGCCATTTGTATGCAGCGTCTCTCAGATGTACTCTACTTCTGGCTGCGCGTTCGATGCAGATTTGCTGGGCACGTCAGTGCTGCGCCATTATGGTAGCGCACTAGGAGTCGGAAGACGACACCCGAGTACCTCTACCGTTCAGCTCCCTTCCCGTGCACCTTTGTGCGCAAAAGTGGCACGCTGCTGCAGTTGCGAACGGTTTCCTCACACATGGCAAGGACGTGCGTGCAGCTCATTTTAACCACGTATAGTGATGGCTATTTTGGTGGGGAAATGCGAGTAATTATCACCGGTATAGTCTTGCCACGCCCCCACCCATCACCCATCCTATCGCTACATACATATATCGTCATTTCAACACCGACAGTGCCCGAGTGATGTCTAACGTCCGTTCAGGTTGCAATCGACAAGACGAATGTTGAGCCTCCAGAACCAGAGCAGAAAGGAGAAAAGCAGATAGGCGCTCCCCAACTAACAACTGACGCCAGTGAGAACGGTACGTCGAATTGCAAAATTTACCGCCACAACTATTAGTAGGCTCAATGTGAAAACTTATCGGTGACAATTTTCTGTTTCCATTGTTATTCTGAGAATTATAACGCAGTACAGATCGCTTCCAGTTCAGGTCGCGTCATTGTTGTGCACATGACTTTCCACCATAGCTTTTAGCGAGCCAAAATTACTATACCTGATAGTTGGTCGGGAGTGTATAACCCACTCCTTTGCTCGCTTTCTCGACGACGAAATTTCGGGAAAAGTTGGTCACCGCACATCACAGCGTTGGAGTAGGCGTGGCTACGTACTTCACTTGAACATGGCCTAGGTTGCGCTGCTTGTGTGCTATTTGCATCTGATACAAGTGTTGTCCTCTCCCGTACTGAAATTCTGGTCGCAAGTGTTCTGCAGTATCCCTTCGGAAGCGCAATTGCTGCCACGTTTGAAAGATAAAGCCCCCGACCACAGACTTGCGGTTAACGGAGCTCACATACGAACGAAAATGTGCTAGGTAACCGGTTAGTGAAGAAAAGAAGAAAAGACAATCCGAAATGTCCTAAATAGAACTTCATGCCGACCCCAATGTACGTGCATGCAATGAAGAAAAGCATGTTTGTACGAATTTCCACTCGTCGTTATCATAAAGATATCAGCTCTTTTATCTTATCACCTCACTCTCACCATTCGGAATGGAGAGAGATACGAGGTAGCTAGCAGGGTCGGCATGGGCCTAAGGGGTGCCTACGGGCCTAATTTGTTAGCTGCCAGCGAAGTTCTTGCCAAATTCCATTTTGCGAGGGTAGCACACTTTCCAGAATCGCCTTCCAGATCATCTGACACATTTTAAAGCTCATAGCCCTACTTTATCGCGGAAAGTGCTTTGAAATGAAGCACGCAGCCATGGAATCTCACCACTGGATATGGACAGTAGGACATGATGAGTAGAAAGAAGGGAACAGTTGGGGTAAGAACGTATTTGCTAAACGTTTTCCACAACGCGATAGTGTGCCATTTGTAGATCAAAGTCACAGTTGGGGAAAACTGAAGCATGCTCAGGGTTTTCTC